AGAACTCTCCAAAGAACTTCTCTTGGAACATTATTGTAAGTTTTTTCTAAATCAATAAAAATCATGTGTAGATCCTCCTCATTTCTCTATGCTTCTCCATCAAACCTCTCAATAAATCTATAACTTCTATAGTGGACCTGCGCGACATAAATTCAAACTGATTATGAAAAATTTTTGTACCACGTCTTAATCTATGTTCAATTACCCTCTGTCATAATTTTAAAGTACGACACATCAACTTACTTCCTCTATTATTTGCACACTCTTGTGCATCCCTTTTATTCTAAAAAAAAATTGAGATCAAAATAATTTTTCTCCACTTTTAAAATACTATTAAAAATTTTAGCAAGTCAAGAAACTCTCAAATCTCCTATATATTTCCACACTTCAATTGAGATATTATCAGGTCCTATTGATTTTCCACCCTTGGTTCTCTTTAAAGCCTCATCAATTTTTTTTTTACTAATGCGACAGTAAACATAAAATATTTTATTATTATCAATGATATTAAGATCACTAAAGTCGATTATATTTTTCAGAAACTTCATTGAAAATTTATCAAAATAGCTCCCTCACCTATGGTGAATGTCTACTTCTAAGAAAAACATATATTGATTTTCATCTTTACTGCTCTTTTTTTTTGGCTAGTTTATACATATATTTTTCCTTCTCTTTAGTATATAATCTATTATAAATGTCACTAAAAACATAATTTTTAGCCCCACAAATTGTTCTATTATAATCCCTCGGGCTACCTTATATTTTTTTTCCAATTCTCAAAGCCTTTACATTTAAACCAATTTTCAGAACACAATTTCTTATTTTTTTATCTTTTATTGCACATTATTATTCCATCGCAAATTATTTTTATTTATAGAAAATTTTTCTTTTGACTCTCCAAGTACATCGTTTGCCACTTGTTTAATAACATTTGTTACTTTATTCCACATAGAATTTGCTTCTTCACGAGCATCTCAAATCTTGAAATCTTGAAGTTTACTCTTAAAAATAATTTTATTTGTCTTTTAGGTGCTCCCATCTAATTCTATGATAATAATTCATAGTATTTTTTATCATATAACTCTTCATCTTAAAATTCATAACTAATAATCAATAGCGAGTATTTAAAATTTCACTTGAAATTACCTTACAATCTTTACATTCTTGACCATCTCTTCTTTCTCATAAGAAAATAATCAAATTGTATTTTATTAGATTCATTCTTATAAATAATAATATACTCATCTCTTTTCTTAAATAAATTATTAGCAATAACAAAATCATACGCTGAAGCAAAATCTAAAATGGTTATACTTTCTTCATTAATTATTCCAAAACCATAGCCACCATAAGTATTTCTAAAATCTTTTATCACTTTACCAACATGTCCATTTAAATCTTCTCCAATAAAAATTCTTTCAAGAGACATTATTTGTATTAATTTTTTATGTCATTCCGGAATTTTTTTAGAATCTATATCTAAACTTATTTGAGAAACATAAACATTTATAACAGAAAATAAAACCTTAGTATCAACAACAATCTTAAGGACTATACTACTATCTTCAATTCTATTAATTTTTATTGCATTATCTTTCAAACTCTTATCCATAATTACACTACACCAGTTTTAGTGCTACTCTTATATGAATATCAAAATTTAAAACATAAGCTCTTAATCTCCTTTCGTCCTTTCTACAATCAATTTAGTTTATTGAATCTATAAGGTATTTATTTTTTTACGAGTCATAATATCAATTAATTCCATTAGTTTACTTGTGAGAGTACCTATTTTCCAAGATCCTATCATGTAAATGTCCATCATGCAATCAAAAGTGTTCAAGTGAATTTTTTAAAGGATGAATTATTATAAATCTCTAGAAATGCGATACTTTCGTGCGAATCGTCTTAGTTTGGATGGATCGGCAATGAAGAAAAGCTAATCCTTTAATATGATATGAAGCTAAGATGACAACCTCCATTGAGATTTGAATTTCATATTGGGATCAATTTAACTATAAATGAAGGTATATTATAATTCATATATTTCGGTAAATATCATTAAAATTTGTAAGGATAAAATAAGCCACTTAAGCTTAGTTAACATAATGTTTAATATTTTCAGAAAAAAAAAAGACCTTTGTGAAGGACAAAATTAAGTTGAAGAGACTTTAGCGCTTGATTGGCGGGTTTTTAAAATTCGGACTGATGTGAAGCACAGCTCAAAAGTGTGAGACTTGTGATGCGATATTTACCCTTTTCAAAATTTTACATAAAAGAGTGTTATTTCAAATTGAGTTCTTTCAAAATTTTTAATATTGTTTATTTAATTAGAGGACAAGAATTATTCAATTTATAAAATCAACACTATTTTAGTTTTATCCACTTACCATGTAAATCAAAAGCATACCATTTAACAGTTTGTTCTATTTTTAGAAAGATTTTTTTGTGTAAAATTTAAACGGTACATACTAATATGGTGTATTAATAATACAATTTATATTGGACAAATTATGTAGATGCAAATACGGCTGATATTTGATTATGAGTATTTTTCACTTGTTTTTTAATTATTTATTAATTTTAATTTGATCTATAACATATCTTGGTTATTACCACTGATTGATGCTATTGCGCTGCTGTTATGTCTGTGTTGAAATACTTCTCCTGTATAATGTTTTTTAAATAAATAATACAAGATGAATGGTTAATATTGGGCACTTTTACCTGTAGAATGTCTTTCATTTCTAAGGTTTTTCTTTGGCTTTGTTTCTGAACTTTTCATTTGAAACTTCAGCCAAATGGGTCCATTCGTGGTAGTATCCAAGATATATGCAACAAAATTTATGCTCTCAACTCTGACTTCTGTATCTGTCAAACAGTCCAAAATTATGCGTTATTAAGAGGCATTTTATTTTTTCTGCTCTCATCTTCAGGTTTACCTAAATAATTAAAACGAATTGAATCGGTTTAATCATTCTTGCTTAAGCTAAATTTTTTTATGGAATAATATAGTTGGCTTCTTTCCATACTTCAATGGTTCCATATGATTTTTCTACTTAATAACTTTGTCATGGCTTTTGGTCGACGTAAGTAGCTAATTCATATTAGTTGAATGTATGATGTTGTGATTGATTTGAAAGTAAATTTAATTAGTCTTTTGGTTGAAGTGATAATAACTTGCTGCAAATTTTGTTTTCCTATCCAGCTGTGTTTATCTGACTTTTTCTGATCTCATTTTATTAACGCAAGAATAAGATGGTTATAATTTTTTTATCATGCAATGGAAATATTATTACTTTACGGAATTTTGAATCATACCTATTTCACAATATGTCTTATGTAAGCTGGAATGGCTTATAGAAGCCTGATTAGACAGATAAAACTATGTTGCTTAGTGGAGGCAATTTGTTAAATACAAATTTCAGTCAGTAATTATTTGATGAATATATATTAGGGTCACTAAGGGTCTGTTTGGGGCAGCTTATTTGCTGCTTGTGCGTTTCAAAAAGCAGTTCGGATGTTTGATTAGTGCGTTTTAGGTGCGCTTCAGAATACGCGCTTATACCTTTTCGATTAGACGCGGTGTGCGTATCGGTCTACAGGTTCGCGATAATACCCCGTGCCGAAGGAGGAAACCTGCGATTCTTCAGCCCCTGCCATAGGGGTAACTTGAGTCCTCTTGCTCGTGAAGTGGACAGCGATAGCCAGCAGCGAGTGAGCCTCTTCGTCGAGCTCTGCGCCCTCATCTTCTCTCTCCTCCGCTCCCCGCACCTTTTCCTCATCTTCGCCCTCTTCAGCCCTCTAGTGGTTTTCCTGTGCCTGCGCCGGCGAAGTCCTCATCGAGGGAGGTTTCAGGTAAGCTTTTTGATGGATTACTCGGTTTGGATTTGGATTTGTGTGGTTTTTATTGCAGATAGCAATTAGTTTGTGATTTACGCTGAGAATAATGTCATTTGCTAGTTAGTCTTGGTTTATTTTGTTCTTTGATGCTTACTAGAATATGGTGCGAGATTTTTGGCTGCGAGTGGCATTTAATAAGTTCTCTAAATGCAGATTTATCAAATTTTTTGTTGGTTAAATCCAAAAAATTATTTGGTATTATAGGTGCTAAATCTAGTTAAATCCAGGTAATTGTCTAGGTTTGTTTGGCTGCAAGTGGGTTTAATTCAAATTGTATTTAATAAATTCTGTAACCAGATTTAGTAAGTCATGAACAATTTTTGGCATGAAAGATGTTAAATCGAGTTAATTTTTGATGAATTGTTGGGCTACTTTTAAGATTTAGGGTCTAGAGTTACTTCTATTACAAATAACTTTACTGCACGGGCATAATTGTCATTTATTTAGAAATAGCTGCAAATCAATTTTTTTTCAAACGGACAAACCAAACAGTCAGCCAACTTATCTGGATAAGCTGCTGATCAGCAGCTTATCAGGTTTAGCAAATCTTGTAACCAGATTTAGTAAATTATGAACAATTTTTGGCATGAAAGATGTTAAATCCAGTTAATTTTTGATGAATTGTTGGGCTACTTTTAAGATTTAGGGTTTAGGGTTACTTCTATTACAAACAACTTTACTGCACGGACATAATTGTCATTTATCTAGAAACAGCTGCAAATCAGTTGTTCTCCAAACGCACAAACCAAACATTCAGCCAGCCTATCTGGATAAGCTGCTGATTAGCAGCTTATCAGGATAAACTGTTTATCTGGATAAACTGGATAAGTTGCAGCTGCCCTGAACATACCCTAAGTTAATATGACTTTTTATTTTTGAATTATATGATAGAATTTGATTTATCTTTTGTTAAAATTCTCATTATTCCTTTTCATTTATATTTTTTATGCCCTTTTGTAATAGTTTTTTTTAGCTATCTTATATTCTTTTTTGTTTTACTAATTTTCTGTTATTTTGAAAGAAATTCTCAAAATCCTTTTGCTAAATGCAGCGAGTTTGACTACTCTTTTCTAATCCTATCTTTTTATTGGTTGTAGCGATGAGGGCATTAGATGTGCTGAATTTTACCCCGCTTAATAATAAACCTATTCGAATTATGTACTCAAATCGGGATCCTAGTGCCCGAAAAAGTGGGACAGCTAACATATTTATTAAGGTACACAGATGTGAGTTTTTTTCCGGTATTTTTAATCGTGCTTTTATCTTTTATATTACTTTTATTGTTGCGCTCCTTTTTATCACTTAAACATATCAGTGATCATCCACTCTTTTTGCAGAACCTGGATAAGGCAATAGACAACAAAGCTCTTCAAGAAACATTTTCTGCATTTGGTACCATTCTTTCCTGTAAGGTTGCTACAGATCCTTCCGGGCAGTCAAAAGGGTATGGTTTCGTTCAGTTCGATCGGGAGGAAGCTGCAGAAATCGCAATAGAAAAGTTAAATGGTATGCTTTTGAATGATAAGCAAGTTTACGTTGGACCTTTCCTTCGTAAACATGAAAGGGAGAATTCTTTGTTTAAGACAAAGTTCAATAACGTCTTTGTGAAAAATCTCTCCAACTCCACAACCGAAGAGGATTTAACGGAAATTTTTGGAGAATATGGAAAAATGACGAGTGTTGTTGTGATGAGAGAGGCTGATGGTAAATCTAAGTGCTTTGGATTTGTTAATTTTGAGAATCCAGATGATGCTGCACGGGCAGTTCAGGAGCTTAATGGGAAGAAATTTGATGATAAGGAGTGGTTTATTGGCAGAGCACAGAAGAAAGCTGAAAGGGAGCAAGAATTGAAAGTGAGATTTGAACAAAGTATGAAGGAGACTGCAGATAAGCATCAAGGGGCTAACTTATACTTAAAAAATTTGGACGATAGCATTGGAGATGAGAAGTTGAAGGAACTTTTTTCCGTTTTTGGTACAGTTACTTCTTACAAGGTGCACGAAAATTAAATTATTATTCTAGTCAATCCT